GGTCGACAAGCCGTCTGGCGATGGTTATCAGAAACTACGCGTGTTCGAGGTCTAATAGTCTGTTTGTGTGGACCGACGCTGGTTGCACTGACTACGCGGTCTAGGGCGTGGGAACACTGAGATCGCATCCCACTGATTTCCCGCGTTGTGTTGCCCTATGTAGGTATAAGCATTGCGATGAGCTGATCCCCCTTCAAAGGAGTCTAATCAGATGTAAGAAAACGTTTCAGAAAAATTCTCCAAAAATGGCGAAGTGTCACACTAGGAATCGCGTTTTCCCTAACCCTCTATCAGGGTGTTGCAGAATCAAAATGTGAGTAACCATAAACCCTCGTTAAATGCCCAGAACTTATCTCTGAAATTATCTTTTGTCCCCTTAATATAATCAAGACTCAACTTCGAAATCTTAAAATATTTTGACTACCAGAATTATCATTGTGTAAATTACCGCTGGTCTAGAACCTTCCATAACTTCTACCTGTCTGTATAAAATCACTATGACGTCACAGATTTGGAAACACTTAAGCTGTGCTACTCATTGAACTTCATCACAAACCTAACCTAATCTACATTTCTGGTGCATTTTCGCAAGCGACCGAGTTTCATAACCAAAACGTATCTGTCACGTCCTAATTTAATGGGCAGATCTTTACACGCTAATTCACAAGACAAAGGGAAACTTTGAAAACTTAGGTCTTCAAATTGTGGCCTTATTCGTCTTATTAACTGCATGAAATTAATTAAATAGGAAATGACAATAGGATAAAAACATTTGATACGAAGGCAACTAGACCTCTGGTTCCAGGCTGCCAGCAACGGTCATAGAAAATCACACATTCACTCTGAAGATGGCAACTGTAATGTTTGCTGAAACTGCTCACTTACGAAAGCCGAGGTCACACGAATTAGAAGACATGGCATAAAATATTTTGGTGTGGCGTCGATTCCTGAATCATTAAAACCTGACACGCCATATTTGAACAGTGATATGTTGTTGTCTCTTTGTGCCGATGGTTTGGTTAGTGGTTGTTAAACGTTACGTAGTGTTTACATTCGCTGTGCTCTCTACTTGTGACACTAACCTTTGCGAATTGGAATCTTGTGCGTGCTAAGCGGTTTCCTTACATCTACTGATTACCGCGACGTTGCTGTGTTCATGGCAGCGAGCCTTCTGCAATGGTGACTCATGCCAGAATACGGAGCGCGTGTTGTTTCAGGCAAGGTTAGCTTAGCGGTAACGTGTCTGAGATTTATTCCGGAGGACCTCGACTTCGCTGTCCGTCGAGATAACGCCCTCTAACCTGTTCTCCCTCAGGTCTCAGGTCTTAGGGTATTTACTACTAGCTACCACGAATCACAGAATAAGTTACTTCAGTTAGTTATTAGACGTATATATTCGTACGTAACGGGGAGACCATGAAACACAGAATTTAGTTAATTTATTTACGTAACAAAACTGGAAGTACTTGGACCACAGGTTTGTTTAAACTGCTCATTTCGTCTATCTTATGATGCGTAAATTAAAGACGATGATGAAAATTTGAGGTCAATTTGCGTAGGAATGAGAAAACTGATAAAATCCCGAGTCATGTAGACGCATATTTAAATATATATATATATATATATATATATATACATATATATATATACATATACATACATACAGAAATAGCCTATTAGCACATTTTTCAACAATAATTTTAATTTTAATTTTAACATAATTATAATTTTAACTGACAACACATTTCGGGTGACAATTTAACATTTTATATACTTATGACATATTAAGTCAGACGTTACTAAAACGATGTATAAACAAGGCCTAATGATGGCATGCGATGTACATGCAACAATTGTTTTCCATTTTGTTCTATAACGAATTGTGTTCAACTAAACCCACAAGTAATCCAGTGATCCTACGTCACATCACGAAGGCCCTCATAACAGGCTGCATTCTACTCTGACCGTTATCTTGCTCTGATGTCGCCTCAAAGAACAAAACAGTCAGTCCGTGCTCCGGCTTGCTGTCTGGACTGTCCTCTTCAGTAACGCCCATGAATCAGACACCAGTGGGATAATGTGGCCTTCTACTTCTGCAGCTGACACGTGTTCGCTCGTCTTTGCTAGTCGCGAACGTTTGCGTGCACATTAATAAGACGGCTAGGTTTATGAAGGTCAGTCGACACCCGACGTCGTTAAATGCTTTAACCAAGTGATGCTGTGATGGTACTTTTCAATAAAAGGTAACGGCGATGCACAAATTCGTATCAAATTAGTAAAATTCCTGGACAGAAGCCTGTTGATTTCGTAAATCATAGTTGAAGGGATTTACTTTTGACTGCATTCTTAACAAATGGTTAAAATTTAAGCAGGCCTGCAATGTTTAAATACTGAAAGCCCTTTAACGCTATCGTAATTGCCTCTTGTAATTTCATATGCGGTACGATTTAAATCTCTTTGTAAAATATTCAAAGAAAAACATTGGAACATCCAAATATAAAAAATAGTCCATTGAAAGAGTTCTATTTTCCCTCCCTAAAATGTCTACATTTCATGTATCAGCGTACATGAGAAAGGAAAGAGGTTTTTACAAAAATTGGTGTGTTCATTTTCAAAAGATCTCGTATCTACCAATAGGAATAACGTCCAACCTGCTGATGAGTGTCTTCAGTTACTATTTATGGATTTAGTATGATTACCACTGTAAACCGGGAGGGTTTCCCCAAAGAGCGTTAACAGACTGATATTTATTATGAAAAGTTATTGTTTTCTTTGAGGTATGGACTCAATTCTGAAATGTACAGATGAAATTCGGCTTCATGCATACGTTAATCGTACAAAAATCGGAAACCAAGAGTAGGCCTAGATTTATCGTTGCCAGAATTAATTTTTTTCCTTGGAGATAGTTTCTAGAAGCCAGAAGTTAAGTGCGTAACCTAGTACTTAATAAAATCACGAGCGTCGAATATCCGCCGGTTTCTCATAAACGGCGTTACTCTGTGGTGACCTTAATGCATTTAGTTCAAAGCGACTTTGATTAAAACTGAGGAATTGGTTGAATCGTTAATAAAAAATTGAAGTCTTCTTGGGCGATGAGTCGTGCAAGCATGAAATAAGAATCCAACGTTTCGGGTAGGCACTGAATCTTACTGAATCAAACCACACATGTCCACAAATGACATTATCGTTCTGCAGGACAGCGTGTGTTAACACAGGATTCATTTAGGTCCTCAGATACATCTTCATTTATAAGTGACTAATACAGCTTAAAGCCGTAAGAATTTTAATAAGTCTCCCATTTTCGGTTAAATGAGACCCAAATTCGACAATGTTAAACTAACTAGATGGCTTACGGAACTCGAAGGTTCATCACCGAATTAACCAAAGCCCTCCACCGGACCCTGTCCTGGGCCAACAAAATCCATTCTCCTTCAACTCCTATCTCCCATAGATCCCGCCTGAGATTATCCTCCCATCTACGTCTAGGTCTCACCTGGTTAGTCATACATGATCATTTTTTGTTTTTTGTTAACATGTGTCCTGGGGGGGGGGGGGGC